TTAGAAAGTGGCTTTAAGAAAAGAGCTAGAGCAGTGAAAATTCCCATTTCCACCATCAGGGCAATAATTAAGAATTTCCAATCAACAGAAAATGTTACAAATCTGCCTGGAAGAGGATGTGTGTCTATATCGTCCTAATGCACGGTGAGGAGGAGAGTTTGAGTGGCCAAAGACTCTTCAAGGACCACAGCTGGAGAATTGCAGAAAAAGGTTGAGTTTCGGGGTCAGAAAAACTAAAAAAAAAATCATCAAACAGCACCTACACCACATGTTGTTTGGGAGGGCTTCAAGAAAAAAACCAAGAAAAGAAAATGCTTTCACCAAAAAATTATCTCCAGCATATTCTGTTGTCAGACACGACTGGAACTTCAAATGGGACTGGCTTCTATGGTCAGATGTAACTAAAAAATTAGCTTTTTAGCAGCAAACCCTCAAGATGGGTTTGGTGAACATAGGGATAAAAAGTACCCCATGTGTACAATGAAATATACTGCTGTATTTTTAATGTTGTGGGCCTATATTTCTGCTGGAGGACCTGGACAACTTGTTTAGATACATGGCATCTTTGATTCTATCAAATACCAACAGATAAAAAATAAAAAATGACTGACTCTGTTAGAAATCTTATAATGGGCCATGTTTGGATCTTCCAACCGGACAATAATCCAAAAACAAACCTTAAAAGACTGGGACTGGGACTGGCTTCTATGGTCAGATGTAACTAAAAAATTAGCTTTTTAGCAACAAACACTCAAGATGGGTTTGGTGCACACAGGGATAAAAAGTACCCCATGTGTACAATGAAATATACTGCTGTATTTTTAATGTTGTGGGCCTATATTTCTGCTGGAGGTCCTGGACATCTTGTTTAGATACATGGCATCATTGATTCTATCAAATACCAACAGATAAAAAATCAAAAAGGGACTGACACTGTTAGAAATCTTATAATGGGCCATGGTTGGATCAATTATCCAAAAACAAACCTTAAAAACAACACAAAAATGGATCACTGGGCACAAAGCCAAGCTTCTGCTATGACCATTCCAGTTCACTGACCTGCACCTTATAGAAAATGAGTGTGGTGAACTGAAGAGGAGAAGCACCATCATGGAGCTGGGAATCTGAAGGGTCTGTCTGGAGAGATTCTCGATGAAGGAATGGTCTCTGACCTCTTGTCAGGTGTTCTCTAACCTCATCAGGCATTATAGGAGAAAACTCCAATGCTATTTTGGCCATTACTAAATGGAGGTTTCAAAAAGTATTGAATAAAAGGGTACCAGTAATTGTGTCCAATGTGTATTAGAGAAAAACATTTATTTCATAATGATATTTCCCCCCATTTTAAATTCTTATGCTCCAATGAAAGGTTAGATTTTTGTGCATTTTTTAAATAAAAGATCAAAAGGATTAACAATGCAGATTTATTTTCACAGCCTTCTTTGATCATATTCACCAAGGGTGCCAATAATTTTGACCACGACTGTGTATATATATATATATATATATATACACACGTGGTCAGAATTGTTGGTACCCTTGGTAAATATGATCAAAGAAGGCTGTGAAAATAAATCTGCATTGTTAATCATTTTGATCTTTTATTTAAAAAATTCACATAAATCTAACCTTTCATTGGAGAATAAGAATTT